CAGAAATGCTATGATGGTTAAATGACATCATAAAAAGTTTTTGCTTTTCCTAATTTGCCTTGTGCTGAAAACCTTTCCTCCACATCCACACTTGGATCTGATGGGTCTAGTTATAAAACATATCGCTGTAGGACTTCTGGATGAGCTGAAGTGTACTTTAAAATGATGTTTGTCCCTATTGATCCTGTGCCCTCACCCTCTATTTTATCCAGATCCATGACCTCTTCCCAAATGCTTGACTGTACTTTAGACTTTGTTTCAAGGTCTAGTGAAAAAGCAAAGTTCCTCAAATATTAAGAAAAAAAAAGTTCCATTCTATTCTATCATGCAACATAATTTTGGCTTTGTCTTCTTGCTTGTTGGATTTATCTTAAACCAGTTTCCTGAAGCTGGCAAAATAGTTTAACAATTCCAGGCTTCAGTCACATAATTTAGTTCCCCAAGGTAAAAAAGTATTTCTTCCCTGAATGTCTCCTGAGAGCAAGTAAACCTCTTTCCCGGAAATCCTCAAAACTCCCATGGCATTTCACTGGCCTATCTATGTATGGTAAACTGCTCAGTTGTAAGCCAAGCCCTGGCAAAAGAAATGCCATGCCCTGATTTAGGAGTTCCTAGGGAAATAAACTAATATAGGCCAATCAGGTCTACTCTGATGATGGGGCTAGCTAGTTTTGAATGACATGGGTTATAGTGGGACCAGATATGTAAGTGATAGTTAAAGAACTGTTTGGATAAAAGAATGAAGACCATATAGGAAATCAGTAACCCCATTAAAATTATTTAAAACTCATAAATAAATAAATAAATAAATAAATCTTATTAATACAGTCAGTAGTGTCTGTTCTCAAAGCTCTCAAAACTGTGTGCTCTCATGGCAGCAATGACAGACAGCTGCTATACTACAATGTATAGTTCTAAAGATGTCTACTTATAAAGTATAATAGCCCGTTTTTGAATGACGTTTCCTTTACTCAGAACATGGGTGTGTAATTTTGAAATAAGACACGACAAAAATGAGGATTTAACCTTACCCAAAATCCCCAGAAGGAAATCTCTATGTAGTACATATAGATTTCATGTGCACTTAAAGTTTGAAAATACAAAAATAAGAGCAAAAATTAATCTCAATTAACATTCTATCCCCACAGATTTCAGTTAAAAACTCTTTAAACAGATGGAAAACATTTCTTTCATCTGAAGAGAATGTTCTATGAAAACCACTTGTCTTAATTTGTACCATAATTCTCATCCACTTCTGAAACATACTACAAACTGGGAAGCATGCAGTTTTACATTCTATAAACTAGTTATTTGCCAACGGATATATATCAGCCAAAAACTGAGCTTATATTTCAGAATTAGAGTCCCTTAGAAACTTTGAGAGGCTAACTGCAGCTTCCTGTCTTCTCACCATATAATTTAAAAACAAAGTTCCTTTCACTATCATTCAAAGCCATATCTCTAACAAGCATTTACTGACCTGTTATACCCTGAATATCACTAGTAGGATTGAACAGTCTTTCGGATGTCACACAGAGACACACAGAAAGAAGAAACTGAAAGGGAAACAAAAGTGGAAGATTTAGAAACAAGGAAGAAGCAAAAAATTAGATGATTTGTATGACTTTATATAAATCAAGCTTTAAGATTCCTCCTATTCCTACAATGAACTTGAGGTCTAAAGTTTGCATCCCATCCCACAAAAAAAACGTCTGGGCCAATGTCACACCTCATTTTTAATAACCATATCAAATTGGATTAGGCATTTTTTCTATACGCTATCTAACCATTTTAAAAATCAGGATAAAATGATTTATATTTCAGTCACCCTTACCTTGAAGTCAGGGAATTCTAGAATAGTCAGTGAAACGCAGGCAACAATTCTCATTTCCTTCTTATTCCATACATCCAACATCCCCTGGGATAGTTTTAACAGTATGACAAACAGAATCTATGTCCTTCAGAAGACTGACCAATGCATTCTACAGCAGGATGAAAAGAAATATCCACAAAGAAGCTATGCCTATTACAAAATATTCTCAGTGAGTGTAAAGTCAGACATTCAGATATTAGTTCTATATGAAATCATGCGTTTGATTACACATCTGTTACTTTGATTTGGAAACTGTGCTTTCTGATGTAATTTCCCTGCAGCTGACCATATTATCACCTGCTTCTTTTGCTTTCCATACTGCTGGTCAAAGAACCCCACTTCCCTGAACACACATTTTATCAGAGCTGGCTCTGTGAAACTAGCATGGCTATTCAGTCCTTTTGAGGAAATGATACAGAAATTCAGCGGAAAACTGACACTGTTAAGTATATGGATGATGGAAGCCTGGAGGTGGTGATAGACTACAACTAAGAATAAAGCCATTATAGGAGAAAGCAAAGCCAAAAGAGAAGTGACATACCTGAATTCAATTTCATTCCCTTGAACTTTTACTCTAGCTAATAAAATTCCAGACTGATTTCTAAATTTTGGAGGATCCCTGGGTGGCTCAGCAGTTTAGCGCCTGCCTTTGGCCCAGAGCACAATCCTGGGGTCCCAGGATCGAGTCCTGCGTCGGGTTCCCAGCGTGGAGCCCGCTTCTCCCTCTGCCTGTGTGTCTGCCTATGTCTATCATTAATAAATAAAATAAATTCTTAAATAATAAATAAATTTTAAATAACTGAATCTTGTTTTTGACTTGAACATGTTACAATGTATGCTACTGATAGAGATTTTTAGGCTTAACATAGAGTTCATGGAAGAAATCATGCCTCTTACAGTAAGAAAAACTATCATGTCTTCAACTAATCAAACATTTCAATTTTACAGGTCTATTATTTTGACTCCTCTTCACAGGGGGTAAAAAATTTATAAAGCAATCTTTTACACTATGTTCCTGTCAGTTTTGTCATCCGAGAGAGAGAGAGAGAGAGAGAGAGAGAGGTTATTGGGAAAATTAAATGAGCTAATAGAAGTATACAGAATAGTTAGTAAGAAATCAATAAATGTTAGCTCCTTAGAATTAAATGGAGAGTTAATAAGCTTAACACCCAAAATACAAAGCATAGGGTAACATCTATGTGACTGGACACGTCAGGAAAAGCCTCTCCTTAATAAGAAAGCTTGAAGAAAATATGTTTAATATCCTTAATAGAACCTACCACCATTGTTTTAATAGATGTTCTATAAATTTATGTTGTTTCTTTCCAAAACAGATGAGGTAACTTCTTTAGAAACACCAAATTAGATAAAATATGGATGGAAACTTGCTCATCAATTGCTACTTTTGTACTATGGGGCAAGTTTAATCTCTCTGACTCTGCCTCTCCATCTGTAAAAATAGGAAGTAGGATGTTACAGAATGAAATAAGCCAGTAATGGAAGCAGCACAAAGTACCTTTACATCCTGTCAATTTGATTTCTAATTTATTACTATTATTTCAGGGACATGACTTTAATATTACCTATTTTTGTATAATTGGTTATTTCTTAAAATAACATTTTTGGGGATTCTTGTACATCTCAGAAGACTTCAGTTTAAAGATCCTTAGCTATTAATTTCTGTAACTTATTGATGAATACAAACATCAGTGAAGTAACCTCCCTTATATTACTATTTCCAGGCTAATTAAAGGCAATGCTGCAACTAGAACCCAGGTTTCCTAAAACACCCAGCTTTATGTTCTTTCTTCTCTACCACTCTGCACACATTTAAAATAAATCCTTAGGCTAAATCAATTAAAAAAAAAAAAAAAAAAAAAAAAGGGATCCCTGGGTGGTGCAGCGGTTTGGCGCCTGCCTTTGGCCCAGGGCGCGATCCTGGAGACCCGGGATCGAATCCCATATCGGGCTCCTGGTGCATGGAGCCTGCTTCTCCCTCTGCCTGTGTCTCTGCCTCTCTCTCTCTCTCTGTGTGACTATCATAAATAAATAAATTTAAAATAAATAAAATAAAATAAAATAAAATAAAATAAAATAAAATAAAATACTTAGGCTTTATTTTTGAAACACGTAAGTAAAACTACTAATTATGAATGCATGGAAAAAAAAATTTCTAAATGCCACGGAGAATATAAAGCAGTAAACTGATAGTTTCAAATTTCTTTCAAGAGTTAAGTTCCCTCAAGTCCTTTTCAGACCAATAGAGATTAAATGTAAAATTGTGATCGTGACTTGGAACAGAGTGCAATGTAAATAGGTAAACAGGACACTATGTGAAAAAAGTGGTCAAATATTTATATATCCCAAATGTTTAAATATTCAACCTAATAAAAGCCAAACTTTCAGGTATAACTCAAGAAACTGAAATGCAAAAAAAGGCTTTCATAAACTACATTCTAGCATGGCCCTCTATTTTATATACCTTGTTACCACTGGGAAGGATTGATGGTTAACTTAAACTATACAACTGTAAAAGGTTAATTTAAAAGTGCATTTTAAAAGTAAAATAGGGGATCCCTGGGTAGCTCAGCAGTTTGGCGCCTGCCTTTGGCCCAGGGTGTGATCCTGGAGTCCCGTGATCGAGTCCCGCATCGGGCTCTGCATGGAGCCTGCTTCTCCTTGGGCCTGTCTCTCTGCCTCTCTCTCTCTCTCTCTCTCTCTCTCTCTCTCTCTCTCTGTGTGTGTGTGTGTGTGTCTCATGAATAAATAAATAAATAAAATCTTTAAAAAATAAAGTAAAATAGAAAAACAGCTTTAAGGTAATTCACTTATCAAAGATGAAACAACAAAAAACCTGAAATAAAACAATCCTGTGACCAGAGTAGATCCAAAGCTGTTATCAGATGAATACTTAACCAAATATCAACATAATCCCATCTGTGCCATTAGTTCTTATATTAGAATAGAACTAAGCTTTTAATATAATTTGCCTAAGTCAATCATTTCTGCTAAATAGGCAAGGGAGGGGAGCAACCAGGGTTCCTACAGTTCCTAAACACAAAGCATTATTTTATGCCAGTAATGGTTAAAACAAACTTGCAACCAGACAAGAAAGAAGTACAAAAGGTAAGTGTCAATCTTTACCAATTTATTTTATACAAAACAGTAGCAATGTAGAATATGGGAATTATTTTCTGCTGCCACACACGCAAGTTGTGAACATTCCAAGCCAATGTATACAGTTTGGAGGGGAAAGCTAAACGAAAGCATTAACCATGCTACTGAACATAGGAATTTTTTATTTAAAAAGATTAAAAATTAGATAGCAATGTCTTCTTAATATTGCTCTCATCATTGAAGACTGAAGAAAAATAAAAAGTGACTTTTTAAGATTAAAAAAAGAGGAAAAGGGAGAAACAAAGAGGCTGCTACAACACTGCCATACTGTCAAACCATCATACTTCAATATTTGCATACTTGATAGCAGCATTATTTTTACTGAACCATGTGCAACTACATTTAGAAACACATCAAAGCAAAGTATCATGGCAGTCATCAATCAAGATCCAAAAGAAAGAAAACAAACAAAAAATAACTCTAGGATAAACACATTATAAGTAGATGAACATTTATGGAGAATGAATCAATATCTACATTCTTGGACTGTTCCACTCTGCTCCAATAAAAGTGTCAACTCAAATTGTTAACTGTGTATTTTTGGAGGATCTGAGTTTTTCCAGTTCTTATTATACTGCATGCTTGGAACAAAGAGGGATATAATAAACCCTTCTACACAATGAACTTTAAGTAGACCGCTGAAAATAAATTTACTACTTGTAAACACACACAAAAAAGAAAAAAAATACAGGATTTTTTTTTTTATCTTTAAACAATCAGTGCTTCCAAAAGCGCATTATCTTCTATATCGACCTCTCTCCCCTCGGTCTCTGTCCCGGTCACATAATCGCTCTCTTTCTCTTTCTCTATCACGTCCTCTATCTCGTTCTCTGTCTCTTCTGTTATCTCTAGGGCGGTCTCGCTCTCGCTCTCGATCTCTTTCACGAGGTCTACTTCTCCGACCACTGACAACAGCTTGTGTGCGACGAAGGAAATCATCCACCCTCATGTCATAATCATGCTAGAAAAGGTTAAGAAATGGGTTAGCTATGTCAAAAGTCAAATGGAACTTATGAGTCCCTATATTATGAATTACTGTACGGTAAAGAAAAAAAATCTACAAAAAGGCACTAATGCATTAATTTGCAAATGCAATTTTGACACTGCTTAGAAAAAAGACCTTGATGTCTTACTAACTAGACACCCACAACAGAGTATTTAAATCTTATTGAAACTTACTTCATGCAGTTTCCTATATAACTTCAGTGATTTTTCCAACCAATCTTTTTAATAAGATTTAGGTCAAAGTAATCAACCTAGTGATGATCATTGATCATCAACCATCATGGATACAAGCCTTATACCAACTATGCTAAGTATCATCAGTGTTTTTTCTACAACTGAACCCTTTTTTTCTTTCCTTCTTTGATTCTACAAACTAACCCGAACCCAGTCTGCCCTCTTATGGTAAAATCAGGAATTCTTACATTACAGATTTTCTTTCAAACTAAACCACTGTTAATGACAAACAACTTATGAAATACAATAGAATTTTAAGAAAATAAGTACTCTAGTAAGATTCTCCACATAGATCTACTCCACATAGATCTCATAATACATAAAAGGCTGATAATACATAAAAGGCTGAGGAAGACAAGAGAAGGTAAGATGAACAACTGTCCAAGTGAGGTACAAATTCTAGTGACTACTTCTAAGCTTGAGCTCTGCTCTAGCTTTTTACTCTTAGTTCTCATCTTTACTTACTGACCTTGGTATTTTTTCAAAAGTCATCTTAAATATTCAGAATATAAGGTTCAAAAACACAATGCCACCTTACCTCTCACACACAATGAATACATGAATATTAGCATAAAATATATATACTAACCAAAAATTTACACAAAAAAGACAAATACCCTTTAGTAAAAGACTCTTACAAAGAATTCCTATTTTGAAAATAATGTAATCATCTATATAAAGCATTTTTTAAAATACAACTCATTGGGGATCCCTGGGTGGCTAAGCAGTTTGGCGCCTGCCTTCAGCCCAGGATGTGATCCTGGAGTCCCAGGATCGAGTCCCGCATCGGGCTTCCTGCGTGGAGCCTGCTTCTCCCTCTGCCTGTGTCTCTGCCTCTCTGTGTGTGTCTCTCATGAATGGATAAATAAAATCTTAAAAAAATAAAAATAAAAATACAACCCATCTAGCCAACTAAGATTTCATCATACATAGGCTGTGTATGTCTTCCTGTGTGAATGAAAAAAAGCCTCTTAGGATTCTCAAATTGTTTCACTATTAAAGAACCTAATATGATTTGGTTTTGAATTAATATCTTTATGAGAATAAGAAAATAAATAACATAAAAGTATTTCAAAGATAGGCTAGGCTGCTCTGACTGGCCCTCTCAAATATGCATGCTCTTCAACTAAGTGGGAAGATTAAAAAAAAAAACTCATCACCTCAAGGGCGGGGGCGCACAGGTGTCCAAACTGTACATCCTATTTTTAACAACAAACTACTTTTCTAAGACTATCAAATTTACACACAAAGGAACTGTAATAACAAGTACAAGGAGACAATTTCAGTTTAAAAAACAAAGTACTATTAAGGGGGAAAAAATGAACATCAATCATTTATTTAATGAACACACACCCAACTAGTATAATGAAAACCCAGAAATCTCAAACTAGAGATTGCCTTTCATTCATCCTGTTTTGAAGTGATCAAAAAAGCTTTTCAAATCAACCATATCAAATTATTATTTTTTAAAAGACTACTTATTCATGAGAAACACAAAAAGAGAGAGGCAAAGACACAGGCAGAGAGAAGCAGACTCCATGCAGGGAGCCCGATGTGGGACTTGATGCCAGGACTCCAGGATCATGCCCTGGGCCAAAGGCAGACATTCAATCACTGAGCCACCCAGGGATCCCCATATCAAATTATTAGAACCAATAATTACTAAATGACAACCATCCATCTGCCTTCCTTAGTAACATGTTTATCGTTTGTTAGCATCATCTTAAGAATCAGATACAGGAGGTGAACTGACAAAATTTGGAAGAGAAATAATAAGTAAATGAGACTAGAGATGACCTGTTAATTTACTACATACCATCTATCCTATGAAAACTGAGTCAAAATATACAGAAATCTTAGAAATATCTATTTGCAATAATAATTAGTTATTAATTGAAGACCCCTATACAGAAATAAAATATCCTAGTATACTTTATCTCTAGGATATTACCTACGAGTTATATGTAGGAGTTGCCTCAATGTATACATCTGTTTGATCAGTGGAAATACAGCCTATTTAAATAATCCAAAGGGATTAGCCATTTCTAATAAAAACAAGTTGTAAATTACTTCAAAACAGTATGCACTATGAATATGAAACAGTCTACCACTCAACATACTCTGGTATCCCTATAGTTATTATCTACAGAATTCAAAGTAGTTCCCTCACACTTGAGCCTTCTCGTGCACTTACTACTCGTTTATCTCTGTATCTTGCTTCATGTGGTACTGGGTGATGTCCTGAGTAAGGGGGATGAGCTTGAGGAGGTGGAGCATGGTGCTGATAGTAAGGATGGTGTGGAGGTTGTTCCATTCCAGGATAAGGAGCCTAAAAAAGAAAACCACTTCCATAAACATCTATCGAATTACCTTGTAAATAAACTGTTCTTAGAATTCCCCTACCCAAACTACCTATCCCAAATAAATAATTTAATAATCTGTACTATCCATTTACTTTGATGGCATTAAGGTTCTTCAAAAACCTTCCTAACGTACTTGTTGAAAATATATGTGTGTTGAATTAATTATACATCCTTTAGGATTTAACATGCTTACGCTTTCAGACCATATCATTTAAATAACAGAACACAATGAACCCTCACACAGTGCTTACAATGAGCCAGGCACTGTCCTAAGTAAGATCTTTCCACATCTTATTCCTCACATCAACCCAATGAGATTGGTACTGTTATTCCTAGGTTGCATAAAAGAAAACGGAGCCACCAACTGGTTAAGCAATTTGCTTAAAATCAGACTGCTAGTAAAAAGGTGGAGCTGAGTACATCATCAGTATCCTGCCTCTAGAATCAATCTTGACCACTATGTAAACATCTACCCTCCAGGACCTAATTAATTTTTAAATGCCATTATAAAATAAGTAAAAGCAAATCAAAGGTTACTTTGATTGGCACCAAGTTAGTTGGCACCAAGATAATATTTTGGCATTTTAAAACTTTCACAGAAAAGGAAAGTAATCTTATAATTCATCTATCTATATACAGTACCTTAAGTGAAATAAGTCAGATGAAGAGACCACATTACAGGCAGCATTTAAAAAAAAAAAAAGATAAACACAGTAAGAACTACTTAAACATCCAAGTTCTTTATTTCTCAGGAATTAATGCTTCAGCTATCCTCAAAACCTTAAAAGATACTCTAAGAATAAAATTCAGCTTTCTTACAGAAAGAAAAAAATTAAAAATTATATATGGGAAAAAGTTATGTGCAGGATTTAATCTTATTTTATAGAAAGAATTTACTAATAAGCACTGGGATCAAGCACTATGCTAAACTTTACATGTATTTTGTAAATTATCTTCTCAACACTCGGCATGAGGTAAACATTGATATTCATTATATTTCAAACCATACAAAGATAAGCACAATGCCAGTTTAATTCACCAACCCAGTGTAAAGCAGAGCACCTTGCACAGAATGAGTGCTAAATACTAATTTGATGGGCCAAAAAATGGACAAATACCAAGTTTTATAGATAAGGAAAACTAAGGAACATATGAAACTTGCCCAAGGGAAGAAAAGGGAATTTGCAGAAAAGGGAAGGCATTTGAATTCAGTCAGTTTGCAACACTAGCCACTACAATAAACCATAACACTTATCAAGCTTGTATTAACACAAATCAAATTATTCATTAGTCATTTTTTTTAAAAAAAAAAAGCCTCCAACTATTTATCACTGAAGATATTTATTTTAGGTCTCTTAATGGGTAACTTAACAATCACATTCTAAATAAGCATTCAAAATAAATAAATGAAACTGTGAATGAAATTAAGTAATTTGCAAAAAAAAAAAAAAAAAAAAAAGAATACAAACCATTCCTTGCCAAGGTGGTGGTGGTCCCATGTTATGAAACTCCCTCACATAATCATTGTAGGACTAAAATGAAAAATATTACTGTCAATAATAAAAATCCAACCCAGCACTATAAAATAAATCAGATCCTGGTTTTGTGAACATTAGATATATAAAATGAAATACTTACCCCATTTAAAAACACATCTCGGCGAACTCCTGAAAATCGTCTGTTGGGAATAAGATTTGTGAAACTAAATTCAGGTAATTCATAAACTAGTTCCAAGAATGTAATTTAAAACTAAGCAAGAGTGAACCCAACTTACCTGTCTACTTCCTGGTATCGAGGATCCTTTAAATACCCTGTTCAAACATCAAGCATTTTAGTAAATCAAATTTATATTTTTTATTATGGCATTACAATTAAGCCTTCCTTACCACTCATTTCAATTCTTCCCATGAAATATAGTGATGCTATTATTGTATTATTCCATTTTCATTTTCTTCTCAGATTACATGATAATCTAGGAAGTAACTAAGTAACTTACTGATATCACAGAATTATAAACTGCTAGAGAGGTTTTCATATGAATCTTCTAAATCCATACCCCAATTCTCGCTAGATAGAAAATTTCTTCATTCTGCACCATAAGGAAAGTAAGGGCAGAGGAATTATCTTGAGGACACTGTAACAGGACTTCCTTAAAACAAATGTTTACCGTCCATCTTAGGTATACACAAGCTTTGCTAAGTCAACCAGATAGTTTTAAAAAATGCAAACTTAAGGGGGAGGAAAACAAAATTGCAAAAGTCACAAAAACGAAGCTTATACATTAAGTGAAAGAGCCATAGTGAAAAAAGAAATATTCTTTCTCAAAAGAAAGAAAGAAAGAAAGAAAGAAAGAAAGAAAGAAAGAAAGAAAGAAAGAAAGAAAGAAAAATATTATTTCTCCCCTTCTTTAATAAAGGACTCAGCAAATTAAAATGTAAAACATCTGCGTGGCCATGTTACTCTCTGGAATATCCCACTCTGAAGAATGAGGTTTTGTTTATCAAGCCACTTGTTAGGTAAAAATGCTGTTATGCTAACACCAATTTTCAAATTACCTAAATTTTATAATACGGTTTTAAGTATTATCTTCTCTTAGTTTGCCTTTTTAAATTCTGATTAGAGGAAACACTAACTGAAAAGCTGCTATGTAAATTACAAACCAAAATATTTCTCATTCCCTCTAAAAACATGTTAAAGATTTTTTTTTGTTTAGAAAAATATGGTATAATTTCAGTTTCCAATTAAAACTATGCATCTCTTAAGATACTAAGCATATTAGGAAAAATAAGCATAATAAAGTGTAAAATTACTGCTTTCCCTAACCACTTTTAATCTTGAAACATTTGTGCAGTTTCCATTTGTGAAATAATTATAAATTAGCAACCCTGGGTAATTAACGAATTATGATAATAAGTCACACTAAAATAGATTAGATAACCTTCACAAAGTAGAATTTAAGTGACAACTATTGATAATTTCTTATGTTTAAGTAGTCCTGTCCTAAAGTTTTCTCACTTTTAGAAATACAGGATTACAATAAAATGGTTTTGTGTTGTTGTTGCTGTTTCATAATTTTAAGTCAAATATCTGCAGGATTATAAAATATTAACCTGGTCTCTGGTGAAACTCAGGGGCATAGTCAATCCTTGGTTTCTTTCTGCTGTTATGAATATCATAATCTTCTGGTCGACGCCTACACAAATTAGACACATTAGAAATTAAACCAAAAACTGCTGGGAGAACAAACAGCAATGCAAGAGTTTCTGACAGAAGTACGTAGAAAGAATAGCCCATTATTTCCTTTAAAATAACATCCTAATTTCTGGTAAACAAATCTTAAAATTTCTAAATTTTACTTCCTCTAATTATTGTGAATCAATCGTTGAATGTATTGCTGGAAATAGATATTCTCTACAATCCTCATACTATAATGAAAAACTTGGAAAAAGTAGTCTGCTCAAAATATATAAATCAAATTTCAGTATTCTAAACAAAAGTAAATGAGCCGCCCTCAAATTAATGTAATTTCCAGTTTAACAGAACATTTTCTCAAAATCTCCATTCAGATGAAAAATAAATTTAAAAAAACTATCATCATTACACAACAGGTAACTCTAAAATCTATATATTCAAACTTAATACCATTTTAGAAGAACTCTAAACAAAATTAAGAATTTCTTAGTTCTTTTTGTTTTGCACAAAATTAAGCTTTTCACATGATCATACAGAAAATTTGATACTTATTAGAAGTGATTTTACAGGAAAGTTTTGAAAATCTTAATATTTGGAAAAACTAATTTCTATAGTTAATAACATTTAGGAATTAAGGGAATTTTTTTCTAGAGACAATGTCTTAAGATAAAATTGGAAAGTAATGGGCGGTTTTTAACAGAGTTCATAAAACATGTTCAAATTCTTTTACTGTCTTCAGAGGGCTGCTCCTTACGATCTCCCATGAATCTCAATGGTTAATGTAATACATCATCAGTATACTTCATTTTATTTAGCATTTTAATAAAGAGCTACACAAAATAAAAATTCCAAGTATTTTTGGTATTAAATATATCTTTTTACCCTTAATGTCAAATAAAAACTCTATAATAACCTGGCATCACTAGTTTTCCAGCTATTTCTTTGAGTTATCAACTGCTTTCATTATCTTTTCCAACACAAGTTCACTTAAACTTCAAAGTGCAATAACCCCAATCCCCCCAACAAAATAAAAACAGTTGCATCTACAATAAATAAGACTAAGAAAATTAAAAGCTGGTTTAAAAAATAAACATACCGCTTTCTTGTAGTTTGGGGAGTGCATTTACGACCGGTATAAAACATGATAGTAACAGTTCATATAGTAGTCCAACTACTGACTTTAAGCTGTAAGCCACATACATATATGGAGGCCCTGGCAGGCTTGAGAGAAGGTGTAGTGGTGTAATAAGTATAGTTTGCAGTCCATTGCAAAACTGAGGTAAAAACTTCACTTGTATATATTGTATTGCACTGGAAACCTCTTAGCTTAAAACTTCAAAAGACATCTTGGTGTTCAGTCCTTTAAGGCCAAAAATAAGGGGGCTCTGCCAGGTTTCCTCCTACCTACTCGACAGTGTCCTTTTTAAGCTCAAAGAAATGGGGACTCTCTTGTTGGATTATCTGTACCTACCACAGGATGTTTCCACCAAAAGGAAACTTAACCAAAGGTTTCATCCCATCAACCATACATCCAACAGTCTTTAGCAGAATATTTTAGGTTTAGCTGTATGCAAATCTACACAGGGGAAGGTGTTGGGTAGAAGGGCTTAAATCAGTCCTTTGCAAAGACTTCTCCAATTCTGTAACAAGTTAAACCCCCTTTTCCTGGAAAATGCTGCTTAGTTCATAAAGTAGTGATCAATAACCATGGCGATCCTCTAAAAAACACTTTAAGTCCACAGGTACTGCCAGCATCTGGAAAAGTTGTAAACAGACACAGCAACAGCCCTTCTTTTCGGTTTGTTGCCGGGTCTCCCAGGGCCACTTGATCCCCTTTGGAAAGAACCTATTGTTTTCAGAAGCTCAGCAAGATGTGTGAATTCACTGGGTACATGTTAGAGAATATCTGGCAATGGGGTTAACACATCACGGTGATAAAATTTGAAACAGTCCCAATAATGCTCCTCTTGAATATCAAAATAACTTAAAATATTTTATCCTCTAAATGAGGCGTCATCTTCTGAAAAAACATTAGTGATCCTTTATAAAAGTCCCATATCTGATAAGGCTTATCCAGAGACACACCTGAAAGAAAAGGCTTTTTACAAAATATTAACAATTTTTGCAAATAAAGACTTCCTCCTCTTCCTCCTTTCTAGCCTGTTCTGAGCAACAAAGGCCTACCTCATTTCAATCGTATACATTGTATAATCAGATTATCTAATTTAAACTGGTTATCACTCTTTAGCAAATTATTTTTCTGCATAAGGAAAGATCCCCATTTTCCTCTTGAAAAATGACTGAGACCAAGGTGACCATGTGAAATCCTCAATGAAGCCACAAACTAGTCCATGCAGCTTGATTTGAGGATTTTCTCTTTCTTCTTTACCGCAGGACAAACTTTTGACGAATCACATTCCTCCATCATGTTATTCTGATACATGTGCCTATTATCAGTCCAAAGAACGTTTCTAACCTTCCCACATCCCGGACTGGTTCTCGACGGGATGGACGTCCTCTTGATCGGGGCTGAGAATGCATTCTTCTCTTGTGACGCATTTTATGAATGACCTGATACAAGTCAATACTTTCATCAGGGGGAAATAGAAGACAAAGCTGGGTTCCACATTCAAGTTCAATTTCCTAGAATAGGAAAGTAGTAATTTACAAGACGAGAACAGGAGAAACTTTCAATAGACTTGTATTTTCCTGAAGTACAAGAACAAAAACAGACTGACTTGGAGACTTCCTTCTCAAGGTTGATGTTCATACAGGATTCCAAAAACTTCCTTAAAAGATTTTGAAAAAAACCTTTCAAAAGTGTTTCATGGGGACGCCTGGATGGCTCAGCGGTTGAGCATCTGCCTTCGGCTCAGGACGTGATCCCAGAGTTTCAGGATCAAGTCTGGCATCAGTCTCCTGCATGGAACCTGCTTCTCCTCCCTCTGCCTTTGTCTCTGCCTCTGTGTCTCTCTCATGAATAAATAAATAAATCTTAAAAAAAAAAAAAGTGTTGGGATCCCTGGGTGGCGCAGCGGTTTGGCGCCTGCCTTTGGCCCAGGGCGCGATCCTGGAGACCTGGGATCAAATCCCACGTCAGGCTCCCGGTGCATGGAGCCTGCTTCTCCCTCTGCCTGTGTCTCTGCCTCTCTCTCTCTCTCTGTGTGTGTGACTATCATAAATAAATAAAAAAAAATTTAAAAAAAAAAAAAAAGTGTTTCATATATTCATAGAAGGATAAAAACTAAAAGTGTAGAATCTCCAAAAGTGTAAATACACCAATGTAGCTGCTTAAAACTCTGACAGTTGTCCTCTGCAAACAAAGGAACATTTCTTTGTGCAAAATACAAAAATATCAGGACAAAGTTATCTACTTTAACTCAGCGGGGGTAAAGAGCGTTAGTGTGTGCCAAAAACTTTGATAATTAGGACTGCTAAATACACTAATGCAGTAGATTAACTACAAAGACTAATGTATGGGCTTTTTTAAATGAATTTTTAACTAACAACAGTTTCATCTATGAGCAATGAGAGTATACCACTTCTGGTTCAAAGTTACTTATAGAAACTATGAGGGTCAAAGATTTGGGTTTATTTTAAGCCACCACGCTTTTAACTTCGTTTGCAGACTTGAAAACCTGGGCACATATACTTTTCATACAGCTTCCTTCTTATTGAGAAAACCTCAGTGAAGATGGCATATATAATGGCATTTCTAAAATTATACAAAGTGCAGTAAAAACATAATGAAAAACAATTTAAAATTAGGACCAGAATTTCTCTTCAAAAACTTTTCTTTCAATTGTATTAATGAAAGTAACATATAAAGATACCTATCTTTCAACATTTATGGAGATCTTACTAAATGATCAAAATCACAGTAATCATGAATTCCAAAGAGAACATTTTCCTGTAATCTTTTACATGAATTATTTAAAAATATGGCTTAAAAATGTCCTTCAATAAAAATCTTTAAAAGGATTAAATGTGTGTGTTTTAAATAATCAATTAAAACAACAAACCTGTCCATCACGTCCAATCTTTACTGGTTTATGTTCATTCCAAGGATTGGTGAGATGAGCTGACTTAGTGAAGGGTAATTCACGCCTAAATACAAAGTAATATCAATTATATTCTTTTCTAGAATCCTTTAGGGACCTTATACTACACTTCAGCAGTTAATCCTGATTTAAATGTGACTAAAATTTAAAGAATCACTTAGACTAGTAGCACTTATCTCCCATAGAGGGAACCCCTTTAGAGATGCATTCCTTCTGCATTCTCCAGGGTTCTAAAAAAAATTTTTTAAATAAAAAAAATAATAAAAAGCTAAATAATATAGTGCTTAAGAACATGAGCTTAAAAACGAAGACAGTCTGGGTTTAAATCTCCTAACTTCTCTTGAGCCTGAGTTTCTTCCGCTTATAAACAGGGGTATAACTACCTACACTTCAAACTTGTTCTAAACAGTGTGCAAATGAAATGATATATAAAATGTTTAGCTATCTCTTGCTTCTGTGTTCTCAAAAAATTGTTTGTATTAACTTGTCAACAAAAAGTTGAACCTTAATCAGACAGTTAATACCAAATGAAAGTAAGCATCCCCTATCCTTGGTTCAGAGCTGCTCTCCCAGATTCAAATATCCTCCTCCTCTTTTTCAAAATAAATACTTTATTTTACTTTTTATTTATTCGAAAGAGAAAGAGCAAGAGAGAACACACTCATGAGCATGAGGGGAAGAGGGGGGGTGAAGCTGAGAGAGAAGCAGACTCCTCGCTGAGCAGGGAGCCTGACATGGCTCCATCCCAGGACCCTGGGATCATGACCTGTGCCTAAGGCAGAAGCTTAACTTCTGAATTAACGACTGAGCCACCCAGGCACTCCAGTCCTCCTCCTTTCAATAATGCAATACTTCCTACCACCCATGGAATGCCTCTTGACAATATATTTACTTATAAATTCATGTATCTCCACACATTAATTATGCTCTTCACTTATATTATAGTGCAGTACCTATATAACTTAAATCCTGGCTCTAAACTCTGAGCCACAGGGCAAAATGGTCTCATCTCACCAACATAAAGATATCCTATACTTTTATATTCTTTACCAACCTAGCACAATGCTGAATGCAAACATGACATGTAACCTGTTACTTGTCAAGGAATAATCAAATTAACAACACCTGATAAGGTTTTATCTATGTGTGCATAAAGGCCAAATTAAATAAATGCTTTAAGGAACTATTCATTATATCCATGATACACATAAAATTGCTCAGCCCAAAGACATACAAAGATGAGTAAGAAAAAGAGCTGTTTGAAGGGTGGCTCAGTTGGTTTAACAGCCAACTCCTGATCTCAGCTCAGGTCTGATCTCAGGGTCATGAGCTCAAGCCCCATGCTAAGCTCCTCACTGAGCATGGAGCTTACTTTAAAAAAAGAAAAAAGCTGCTTGCATCCCTTAATTTATTTTCACAGTTACCAAAAAAAGGATAAATGAACATACACAATTACTTGGGTAAAAGAATGGGTACCACAAATAGAACAGAGAAGTTTTGTTGTTTTTAATACGGATGGTCATATCTATTTTGGAGAGAAAGAAAATAATCAAAAGATGTTTCCTGGAAGTAGCATATAGAATATGGCTCAAAGAAGAGTGACCCAGGAAAAGTCAAATGTTAGTAGCTAAGGAAGGGTCACATTTGAAGCAATGAAAGAGCCTGTGCAAAGGTATAAAATAGAGAAGAAAAAACACAAACAAGTGATTTGATCCAGTGGATAAGCTATATAACCATTTATTCTGATCTTATACGAATTTTCTTAAAAGTGAACACAGAATGCTAAATTTTTTAACTTCTTTAAACCTTGGGAAAAAAGAAAAGTGTATCTAAAGTCAAAGTAACACAGTGGCATACTCTGTGGTGGTGGTGATGCGAACGTACGGGGGAATCGGTTATGAATGCTGAAAATGCTCACTAGGTTTTAAAGCTTGAATTCCTAGTGTAACACTCATCTTACTTCACACATCAAGAGTGGTTCAAGAATACATATGTCTAAAAAAATAAAAAATTTTAGAAAGAATATATACATCTACAAAATATATACACTTTTTTTTCAACTTTTCAGGCCATCAGAAGTTAGGAAAAATAAGACTATCACTAACAAGTCTATACACAGCCTAGAATATCCAGAGGGAAATCTCCAGTTAACGATTCTTTGTATTTTAATACTTTCTTAGATTTCCCCTCTAAACTGCCAGTTATTTTGTTTCAAAGATTTTATTTATTCATGAGACACACACAGAGAGAGAGAGACAGAGACACAGGCAGAAGGAGAAGCAGGCTCCATGCAGGGAGCCCAACACGGGACTCCATCCCAGCTCTCCAAGAGCAGGCCCTGGGCTAAAGGCAGCACTAACCTGCTGAACCACCCAGGCTGCCCTAAACTGCCAGTTAAAAAAAGTTACAGGAAAGGAATAAATAACCTACAAGCCACCAAAATTTAGGAAAATTACAATTATTACTGCAAAAAGTTATTAGTTATTTAAATATTAATGGAATACTGAAGGTCCAAAGTAAAACCATGTTATGCTGGTTGAGTCTCTTGGAGTTATTAATCTTTGGTGGCACTGGTTCTAACTAGCTAGATTCCAGAGACATTTTACCATGTTGACAAATCTCCACCAGCTATCAAGTGAGAATTATGAGGTCCTTGGAAAAACAGGACTCTGAATACATTAAGAGAAACCGCAGAACTGCAATCCTCACAATTACAGAATAAGCATCCTAAAAGTTACCTTTGGAACAGATGTGTAATGACGAAGCCTACAGATGACTAGCTTTACTGTGAGTACTTTAGAGAACATTGAAATAACTCACTGATTTAAGGGGCCTGGTTAAATGGGCCAAATTTAACAAAAGAACATGTAACCATACAAAGGTTCTATTGTACTAGGTAGTGTTTGATTATTCAAGTTAAAAGAAGTAATGGAGAAATTCTAAGAGAAGAGAGAAAATGGGTTATTTGGAATGGACACTAAAGGGGTGAGCATAAAATATCAGTAGATTTAAATCTGGATAAATGACATTTCATAGCGCACTGCCTTATTTTGAGCTAACTCTTAGTGACAACTTAAGTAAGTCACTTTTTGTGGTTCCTCTTGTATCTAACATGTATCATGCTGTTGTAAACTTCAGTGTGTCCACAAAATACCTGAACTATCAGAAATTCAACAAGTGTGTGGTGTCTATCAAGATACGGCATTTTGACAATCAGATGCTACTGATGCAAGTTATCTATGGACCACACCTAATGAAACAAGTTTAGTTATTAAATTCAAAGGGTACTTAAACAAGTCTATCATGACTTTTGTATCTGAAAAAAAAAAAAATACTGAGAGCAGTTACTGTTACTGATAGCAAAGCCTTACTTGTTTATAGTTTGATACAGAAAACTTAAGAGTACAAGAGACTTACCCTAAAGAAATACCAATGTAATAATTACATGACCCTCCAGAACTTTTAAGTATAATAAAACTACTCTTGAACATAAGTATTTTAAAAATTAAAGTTACATATACAAAAAAATTAAAGTTATAATTTTATTTAAGAATATTTTTTTCAGGTCAGCCTGGGTGGCTCAGCGGTTTAAGCGCCTGCTTTGGCCCAGGGCGTGATCCTGAAGTCCCGGGATCGAGTCCCATGTCGGGCTCCCTGCATGGAGCCTGCTTCTCCCTCTCCCTGTGTCTCTGCCACTCTCTTTCTCTATCATGAATAAATAAATAAAATCTTAAAAAAAAAAAAAATATTTTTTTTTTCAGGAGGTGCCTATCTACTGGCTCAGTCGGTTAAGTGTCTGACTTTGGCTCAAGGTCCTGGGATGAAGTCCTGTGTTGGGCTCTGCTCAGTGGGGAGTCTGCTTCTCCCTCTCCCTCTGTCCCTCCTTTCTCAAATTAATGAAATCTTTAAAAAGGTGGGGGGGGGGGTCCTGGGCGGTTCAGTCAGCTAAGTATCTGCCTTCAGCTTGGATCGTATTCACGGAGTCCTGGGATAGAGCACCCCACACTGGGCTCACCACTCAGCAGGGAGTCTGCTTCTCCCTTTCCCTTTGCCTCTCCTCCTGCTGCTTCTCTCTCGATCATTGTCTCTCACTCTCTCGCTCTCAAATAAATAAAATCTTTTATTTTTTTCCAAAGATTTCATTTATTCATGAGAGACACAGAGATAGAGAGGCAGAGACATCGGCAGAGGAAGAAGCAGGCTCCATGCAGGGAGTCCAATGCAAGATTCGATCCCAGGACCCCAGGATCGTGACCTGAGCTGAAGGCATATATTTAAAAGATGCTGAGCCACCCAGGCATCCCTCAAATAAATAAAATCTTAAAAAAAAAAAGAGCATTCTTTCGGGGGATGGGGTGGCAGTCAGTTAAGCATCTGACTCTTGGTTTCAGCTCAGGTCATGACCTCAGGACTGTGAGAGCAAGCCCCAAATCAGGCTCTGTGCTCAGCACAGACTACTTGAGATTCTCTCTCATACTCCCTCTGGCTCCCTCCCACTCATGCACGCATGAGCGTGCTCTCTCTCAAGTAAGTCTTTTTATTATTTTAAAGATTTTATTTTTTTGAGAAAAAAAGTGAGAGCGAGCAGGCACAAGCAGAGGTAGGGGCAGAGGAAGGGGGGCTCCCTCCTCGCTGAGCAGGGAGCCAGATGCGGTGCTCTATCCCAAGACCCTGGGATAAGGACCTGAGCCGAAGGCAGATGTTTAACCAACTGAGCCACCCAGGTGCCCTCAAATAAGTAAATCTTTAATAAGAAAAAAATAAGAAAGGGCAGCCTTGGTGTCTTAGTGGTTTAGTGCCACCTTCAGCCCCGGGCATTATCCTGGAGACCCAGGATCAAGTCCCACGTCAGGCTCCCTGGAGCCTGCTTCTCCCTCTGCCTGTCTCTCTCTCTCTCTCTAATAAATAAAAATAAATCTTCAAAAAAAAAAAAAAAGGAAAAAAAAAACAATTTGGAAAAAAAAGAAAAAATAAGAAAAAGGAAATTCTTTCCAGGTAAACCTAAAACTTAATTAAAATACAATAAAGAGGGCAGCCCCGGTGGCGCAGCGGTTTAGCGCTGCCTGCGGCCCCGGGTGTGATCCTGAAGACCCGGGATCGAGTCCCGCGTCGGGCTCCCTGCATGGAGCCTGCTTCTCCCTCTGCCTGTGTGGCTGCCTCTCTTTCGCTCTCTCTGAATGAATGAATAACTAAATAAATAAATCTTTCAAAAAAAAATACAATAAAGAAACTTTACAACCCAAAATCTTGTACAGAAAGTTAGTAAGATGGACTAGCTGGTTTTGTACGCCTTCTGCTGGTATACACATTTCAAACAAGTTAATAAAATAGCTAATACAATACGTCAATGGAGAGAAACAGGAATACAATAATATATGAACAAATTAAGCTCATCTTCTGAAATTAAGAAAAAGGGCAGCCCAGGTGGCTCAGCGGTTTAGCGCTGCCTTCAGCCCAGGGTGTGGTCCTTTAGACCTGGGATCAAGTCCCACATCGGGCTCCCTCCATGGAGCCTGCTTCTCCCTCTGCCTGTGTCTCTGCCTGTCTCTCATGAATAAATAAATAAAATCTTAAAAAAAAAATTAAGGGATCCCTGGGTGGCGCAGCGGTTTAGCGCCTGCCTTTGGCCCAGGGCGCGATCCTGGAGACCTGGGATCGAATCCCACGTCGGGCTCCCGGTGCATGGAGCCTGCTTCTCCCTCTGCCTGTGTCTCTGCCTCTCTCTCTCTCTCTCTCTCTCTCTCTGTGACTATCATAAATAAATAAAAAAATATATTTAAAAAGTAACATTCAAAACAAAATTTGCTGCAACCAGTCTAAAATTGGGTATTTTGCCTCCTAATCCTAGGACATCATCTCCAAATATTTTCCAGTAACATCATTAACATTTCTAATCATAAAGCCATGAACTTCTTTGGCCTTCACAGTTATAGCCATCCAAATAAATCAGTCAATCTGCTAAGAAATTGGAAGCATTTTGTTTTCCCTATAAAGAATTTTTTAGTTTTATGATTTTAATTTGATTATAATTTAAGTATAACTTAACTACAATCCTAATTTCTAAACAATCACAAATTTATACTTTAAAACTGTTAGGTGTAATGGGAGTAGAATAATATGACCTACAGTCTCAGCACCAACACTGCATTCCAAAATTATAATTATCCAATTTTTCATTATGTTTTTCTATGTTGTTACATGGATAATTACTTTTGCATACTACATTTAAGTAATTAATTAATTACTTAACCAATTTCCTATATGGAAGAATTTAGATTGCTTCTAATTTTACACTATAGAAAGTAATGATGGGATGAGGAGCAATGATCTATTTATGCAGATAGCTTTTTACCACTCTATCAACAATCAACCTAATGCACTATTTTTAAAAGTATCATTGCCCACGTATCTTCATAGTCCTTCACTGTCCCTTAAGTAAAAGTTTAACTCCTAGGGTGGCCCCCGTTACTGTTCATCTTTGCTTTTTTTTGTTCTCTTTAACATCTGCTTCATAAAAAAAGGTGGCTCCCTATTCTACTCACATATCAACCCCCACCTTCCCACCTCCTTACCCCCATGGTTTGTGTTTTCATGCTCATGGGCTGGTTTGCCTTCCAGAATATTAATAGCACTTTTTATTCTTATTATCCAATCTCTCCATCTCCATCAAATCCAACACCTAAGCTAACTTTAACTTACAAAAAATACGTATCATCTGTTTCAGATTTTTTTTTTTTACTGAAATTAATTTTACAGGCAACAGATGTGTGCATGCCACATAAAGTTCACTCAAATAACTAGCTTTTTATGTTAAAATAACTTTCTAGGTCCAGAATAGAACTGCTTGTGTCCAAGGAGCCATTTCAGCAAGCTTATTTAACTTTTGTATCCCTGTTAAGTGCTCGGTTTGACAGAAATGCAGTATATCCAATCAGCCAATTCCCAAATACCAAGCCACCTCAGTCTGGAGTTTCTCATCCCAAACAAGGCTGACAACGTAGCCGTATCCAAACATTTTCTATTTGTCTCTTCCCTTTTCCTCATTCTTTATCCTACAAAAAGCCTTCTACCTTCTGCCTCATCCTATAGTTCTCCACAGGACACTGACCTGAAGTGTTAAAAGTTTATATCACCTAAATTTAATTTAATCATTTTTAAACAATGTACAATCATTCAATAAGAATATAAAAATAGGGATCCCTAGGTGGCTCAGCAGTTTAGCGCCTGCCTTCAGCCCAGGGCGTGATCCTGGAGTCCGGGGATCAAGTCCCACACATCAGGCTCCCTGCATGGAGCCTGCTTCTCCCTCTGCCTGTGTCTCTCTGCCCCTCTCTCCCCCCGCCTCATGAATAAATAAATAAAATATTTAAAAAAAAAAAAGAACATAAAAATATTGGTAATAACTAGGAGCTCAAAATGAGTCTATTCTTCTGATACATTTAAATCTTAATTACATCAGTATCAAAATATTATGCCAACTAAACACGATTTGCCAAATTAAGCAGCCAGTTGTTCACAACTAAATTAGTCACCTCCAAAATGTTAGCCATGTTAAAAAGTGACTATTTTCCTATTCCAGTTACAAACTTACTATTCTATTACTAACATAGAGAATGGAATACATAAAACTCCTGACTAAATAAAACTTTTGCCCTTCAATTATATTAGATTATGCAGACAGTGAACAAGACAAGCAAACACGGTGGAATTAGTTTTATTTTAGTACTGCCAAACTTTCTGGATCCAAATCAGACTAGGAATGAGACCAAAAAAAGAATAGTAAGTAAAAATAAATTAAAACCAAATGACTGTGGAGTTTTAACATTACTCCCAACTGGTAGCCTATTCAAAACAAAGGCAAATTTAATCATCTACACAACTGTGTAATTTACCTGCAAATCCAGTCAATTTTAAAAACTCCTCCCAACATTTTAGCATTCATTCCAGCTGGCAGCACCCAATGTATAGGGGATCCTCCATGATGTGATTCTGAAGAAAGCCTTGCAAATCCTAAGGGAATCAAAATAATATTAAAATATACATGCTACTATAAATGATGTTTTTATATATCCACATTATTGTCTTCTTACCTTGAAATTTTCCACTCTCTCTGACAGAAAATATTAATATAACACTCCTTGCAGATCGGAATGCAGCATTTAATTTCTTCTCATTTACAGGCAGAGTGGACCAAACACCCTACACAAATGATGTAAAGATCAGACAGAAATTAATGCAAATCTTTCATCTTAGCAATTTTATCTGCAATAGACCAAGACTACTGACACTGTTTTGCTTTAAATTCAAGTAAGCTATAATAAAGAAAAGTCTTATCAACTGTCAAAATAATGTACTAATTTATTAAAAACTCAAGAAAAATAGGGAGAAAATTCTCAACCTTCACAAAATCATTAAAGTAACTAGAAAACACGTTGGGTCAGGGGTGTCAAAACTTTTATGAGCTAGAATTCTATATAACAGAAAGAACCACCTATAGCTATTTTAATATCACAACCATTTACTATGGTAAAAATAAGATGTTTGAAGGTGAATAATACATATATATATTTCTCCTTTAAAAAGTGCCTAGCCAAAATAATTAAAAAATACTGTATTGGTAAATCCATCAGTGAAGAATTTGTCCAGTTCCTAGCCTTTCTCATTTTTTCTATTTAAGTTCAAATTTTTATTCATCAATAGTTTGACTAAGAAACCTGTGTTGTACATAGAACCAGAAAAAAGCTATTAATTTCTAAAGCACTTTAATTACTTATTTGTAACAAGATTAAAATAGAACAATAAAGTAAGGCAGAAACTAATTCAGTTCAATCTGTTCATACAATCAAGATCTCATTCACACTAAGTGCTTAATACTTTTGCTTTAAATTCAATATAGCAGAGCAACAGGATAAACTTCCAGTACACAGCTATTTAATATATTACTCCTTCCATTTAAAAAGTTTGTTGGGTAACCATTAATGTGAAATATACGAGATTTTTACACTGACAAAAATAGGGTTGGAAAAATTACTTTCTAAAAATCAATAGAAGCTGTAATGACTCCTTTTAAACCAAGAAAAGAAATATTTTATAATGCTGTAACAAACAGATATATGTTTGTAGCAAAAACGTAAGCAGAAAATTAGTATCTTACAATATCCTATAGCAACTGGACATATCATTTTTGCAAAGCCTTGGGTGGGCGTTTAAGCTAACCTCTCCCTTTTCTTCTAAATCCAAGTGATGTTACTTCTAAATATAAAAAAATAAAAAAATCTCTCCATAATAGAATGATTTCTTCTCAAGAAGATCTCAAGGTATAAAATCAGCATTGATATAAAACAAAAAATGTTAATTGCATAAACTTTTAAAGTGTTAGTACAGTAACTTAGCAACCAAATTCAGAAACACAAAAATCAAAAGAAACACTATTTTACAGTACAAAGTATGAAACACACATATTCTTCAATATCAAGTATTTTGACTTCTAATATCATCTTTAAAAGACTTAAATTACTACCAAGATGCCTCATCAGCCACAAAGCAGACCCTAAATGGCAACTGGACTGTGAATCCTGAAAGCTTTAATGAAAATCACAGTATACTACTCAAAATATTTTAAGTCTACCTTCCATTTAAAATTTTCAAGATTGGGATAGTTTCAAAGGAACTGATGCTAATACCTTAGCTTTGGCAAGAGACACATTCTCATGGTTGTTACTCTTTATGAGAAAAAATCTTGCATCCTGTAGGACATATTTGAGTTTACTGGTTTGATCTGAAAAAAAGAAATCCAAAGTGATTAACCGGAGGCCATTATCACAAAGGGGTAAAGCTGTACTGAAATTAGCCCTCCACAACCCAACTAAACTTAAAATTCATCATCGCCCATTCGACCTGGAAAGCTGAGCCACAACACATAATAGAGCAAAGCTAAGAAAAGACACCAGCATTCTGTAAGAAGTTAAATCTAATCTAGTGATGTTCCGATATATCAGATTCACATTTAATTATGAAACGGCTATAAATTTTATTGATTTCTTTTACAAGATTATTCATTTAAATAGACCGTTATATGCTATTAAAAATATATATTCCATCTACTATGTCCAAAACTAAAATACCTTGCTATCGTTCTAAAAGATATGCAGTAAGTATATGTGGAGCTGTACCTTTTGTAAGACTACATTATTAACCCTTTTTTTTTAATGTAATATATCAGAACATTACTACATTAAAACCAACCATTAATGGAGAACTAATAAGGCAAAATAATGACTTTATGCAGCATGCAATGAAAACAATTTCAAATTTAAATGATACCTTTTCGGACAGCACGAACGGAAGATGATAATTTCTCATGCTTCTTTTCTGAACCTGTATTTAGCCAAAGTACATTTGTTCAGATTGAGCTTTAATAGAGATAAGACAAAATTTCTACAGTCTTGTCACATAAAGTTCTCATTCAAGACAAATTATTCTTCCTGGCGCACCCACACACACAAAAAAAAATACTTCTCAATGTGTACGAGTGTTTTGTTTTTTGGGTTGTTTGAATTTTTTTTAAGTATGTATATCTGAACAGTTTCCCACTCAGAAAACTAGTCACTGAATCATCATCTTCCAAGAAAAAAAAAAAAGTGAAATTCCACTTAAGCAGTAACAGAACAGGATTAAAATAATAAGAAAAAGCTTAGTTTCCTCTAGAAGTATTACACTGAACATGCCAAAAATCAATACTAATGAACATCAACAAATTCACACTAAACTACAGCCTCCACACTTTCTACAGCAAATTATATTAGAATCAGTCAGATATGATCACAAATAAAAGTAAAATGAGGATACCTGCGTATGATTCCGATGCAGAGCTTCCACTTCTATCAAAAACAATTGGAGAAATTCCTCTAGCTCTCTTCCTTTCCTTCTTTTTCTCATCTAAAAAGAATCAAACAAGATTTTTGAAAACATTACAATATAGGTACAGGTACTCAAATAAGAATATATCATATGCCTGGTTTTTGCACAATCCCTAAATACTACTCATTGCTAATCTCTTCTCTAATCCCTTAGGTTCCTCAGAAGGTATTCCATTTCAAAAACACTGTTCAGGGCAACCCCGGTGGCTCAGCGGTTTAGCGCCACCTTCAGTCTGGGGCGTGATCATGCAGCCGCGTCCTGCATGGAGCCGGCTTCTCCCTCTGCCTGTGTCTCTGCCTCTCTCTCTCTCTCTCTCTCTCTCTCTCTCTCTGTCTCTCATGAATAAATAAATAAAATCTTAAAAAAAAAATGTTCAAAAAACAAACATGTTGTTTCTCCCATCAACTTCAATCAAATTAAAAGCACATGGTCATAACTGAGAACTACTTATCCTACATAAAAGTAGTACTGAATAACATTTTCCAAGAGAAGGAAAAATCTGCAAAGCAAACACAGCTTTAATTTCAGTAAAAAAATAGTGTTTCTTTCTATATACCAGATACCACTGTTCTAGTCATCTCTCTAAAAAAGTATACTATCATTGTTCAGTACAATTCCAACGCTGATTCTTAGATGTCTGACAAACCCCAGAACTCAAAACTTTCCAACTGTCAAAAAATAGTAATACACTAGAGTAAGTTAGGGATTTCTGTTCTGGCTGCCACTGCTTGCTTTTATGTCTTCAATTCCATTCTTCTTGTCCATTTCCCTCTTGGATTACTGTTCTTTTCAAATTGAATTTAAAATTTACTTCTAAAATGTTATGAATAGCCTATACGTTTCTACTAAAAAGCTGAGAATGTCCAGTCGACAGAAGAGGTCTGCATTACCCGTCATTTAAGAACAATTTCAAGCTTAATTTGGAACTTTATAAGCATATAAACAAAGACTTAAAATGGAATTAGGCTCTCCTGTCTACGTTTATTGGTATTTTAATTATATCATTATAAGTTACTTTTCAGCCAGGAGAGAAGGAATAAACATGGCAGAAAATGCACACATTTATTTTTATAAAAATAGCAAAAGCTAAAACGAAATGATCCTGCATACAATTTTCTATTATGTAACAAAAAGGAGTTACCTATTTAAAAAGATTTAGCTAAATTACCTCCCTAATCCTCATAATAAGCTCATAAGATCCTTAAAGCTATTATTCTCATTTACAGAAAAGAGGAGTAGCTAGGCAACTTGGCCAGGGTCCCATGTTCCTGGATGGTAGAACCTAGTTTCAAATGCAAGTTCCTCTACCTTGAAAGTACAAGACCTGAGCTCTCTTCTGATTGAGCAAATAGAAAAGATATTTTACTTCTACTCCTGAATTCCAAGTCTAATTCGTTTGAAGATGGAAAATTCCAACAACATTCTACATTCCTTTTCTTTAAATATCTTCTTTCCTTTTATTATGTACTGCTGTCTGTCCAAACAGACATAACACGAAGTTTGTTACGTGATGATTTTCCTAACACAGGGCTGAAAGAAGAGCAGGGCAGTAAATACTGGCACAATTACAAAACCAAGCTCATTTAAAGCCAGCAACCATGGGGGCATAATAATATCTCAAAACAACCAGCTACAGAGAAAAGCATTTATTTCCAGGCTTGCTTGCTTTGAATGATGTCTGAACTTCTAAAAATTTTAAGAATCCTTTTCCTCAGGGCCAACTATAAGACTTCAAGTGAACAGACTAAAGCCTTTTTAGTGTAAAATTACTAGAAAACCTCACCCAAATAGATGAGAAACAGAAGATTTTGTCAAATCCTCAATCTCTTTCTCATACATGTGTTTTGTTACTGGATACATATTCCTATATCGTGCCTAGCACTCAGCAGAAACCCAATTCAGTGCATCAATGAATGACAGAGACTAAAAAGTAAAACCTTACTAATTTTTTATTTAAAAATTTTAGTATGTTTCTTATCATTTTTTCTCTGCGCATGTAAGAGTCTAATCATTATGAATCGACCACTAATAATACACACCTGATGCTGATTAAAAACAATACCGTTTAAAGTACTGAAAGGATCTCTCACTAATGTGATACAGAAAAAAAAGGAACAAAGTTGAGGATCCTGCTCAACTGTTTGGTTTTCTAAGAGAAAATTTCAACTTTTAAAAATAAATTATCATTAGAAATCTCCAAGGATTTTTCGTCTGTTTTTGTATAAAACACTCCCACTGCTCTTAAGTTTATGATCTCCTCTATTATTCTCAGGTCAAAAGAACAATGAAAGTGATCTAACAAACTTTGAATGACCACCAAAGTATACCCCTTCCGAATCAAAAAAAGGTACTAGAAAACTAGAATCTAGAAAACTCATATTATAGAAACTAAACCATAATCCCTTGTGTTCAAAAATAGACATCTCCTGGGGTGACTGGGTAGCTCAGTCAGTTCAGTGTCCAACTCTTGATTTCAGCTCACGTCAGGAACTCAGCGTCCCGAAATTAAACGCAGGGTCAGGTTCCACACTTTGCAGGGAGTGCTGGAGATTCTCTTTCCCTTTACCCACCCCAGCACCCCCAGCCTGTCCCTCATACTCTCTAAAACTAAAAAAATCTTGAAAAAAAAATAGACATCTCCTACTTAAGGAGTTCCAAATTCACCCCTTTTTCTTTCACACATTTTTATGAGAAACTACTCCCTGATTAAAAATAGTAACTTCCAGGACACCTGGGTGGCTCAGCAGTTGAGCATCTGCCTTTGGCTCAGGGCATGATCCTGTGGTTCCTGTGGTCCCAGGATCGAGTCCCACATCAAGCTCCCTGCAGGCAGTCTGCTTCTCCTCTGCCTATGTCTCTGCCTCTCTGTGTCTCTCATAAATAAATAAATCTTTAAATAATAACTTCCTGCACACTAGATACAGTCTCTAAAACATGTTGCACATAAGGAATCTTCCAAGGAAAACCCAGTTTCCTTTATTTTTCTTTCTTTTCTTTTTTTTTTTTTTTTTTTTTTTTGGTAAAGATTGTATTTATTCATGAGATGCAGAGAGAGAGAAAGAAAGAGAGAGAGAGGCAGAGACACAGGCAGAGGGAAAAGCAGGCTCCATGCAGGGAGCCCGATTGTAGGACTCCATTCTGGGACTCTGGGACCATACTCTGAGCCAAAGGCAGACGCCCAACCGCTGCGCCACCCAGGCATCCCCCAATTTCCTTTAATAAGCAAAGTAAGAATTCCAGATATCACTTTTAAAACAATAAATCTCTTCTAATAAACAGTTTTAATATCAAGGTTCATGAAACCATGGGCTACCATTCAAGTTGAAATATCTTATTCACAAAAAATATGGATTATCAAGTACCTTGCTAGTGATTAACATCACCTAGGAGCTTGTTAAAAATGCAGATTTTTTAAAATGCAGATTATTTCAGATCTTACTCATTTAAGTAAGTCTTCCTTGTTTGACTTATATTAAGACAAATAAGAATTCTTAACATGGATATACAAAAGATTCCGATAATAAAATGTCCCCGACACACATTCATCACAATAAATGAACATTCACTGTCATGTACTTTTTGTTCTCTATCCATTATTATCAATTATTAAAGATATGTTATCCCATCAGTTTGAAAAAAAAAATGTGATGGGAGAGTGCAATTAAAGGTTCTACATAGTTTGGGGCACCTGAGTGGCTCAGCTGGTTAAACCTCTGCCTTCAGGTCAGTTCACAATCCCAGGGTCCTAAGGTCAAGCCTCGCATTCGACTCCCTGCTGGGGGGGAGGGAGGAGTCTGCTTCTCCCTCTCCCTCTGCACCCCCACCCCTGCTCACATTCTCTCTTGATTTCACTCTCAAGTAAATCTTTAAAAAAAAAAAAAATTCTACAAAGTTTTATATCAACTGCAACTACTCATCTACTCAGTTTAACTCTTTAACCCCCTTCAAAATCCTCACTAGGGGCACCTAGGTGATTCAGTGGTAGAGCGTCTACCTTTGGCTCAGGTTGTGATCCCAGGGTTCTGGGATGGAGTCCTGCATCAAGCTCCCTGTAGGGAGCCTGCTTCTCCGTCTGCCTATGTCTCTGCCAATCTCTCTGTCTCTCACGAATACATAAAATCTTAAAAGAAAAAAAAAACTCCCAAACCTAGAATTCCAGTGAGCAAAAGGTTGAAAGCATTTCAGTTACCAATCTCTAGAAAATAGCTGGCCATCTGCTCTATCATCTATTCAATTTTAAGAATATGATTTACTAACAATGTACTATTAAAATGATATTAATAAGAATGTACTATAAAAATGATAAAATTTTATAACAATGAAGTTATGGGCTGCCCTGGTGGCACAGCGGTTTAGCGCCGCCTGCAGCCCAGGGCGTGATCCTGGAGACCCTGGATCGAGTCCCACGTCAGGCTCTCTGCGTGGAGCCTGCTTCTCCCTCTGCCTGTGTCTCTGCCTCTCTCTCTGTCTCTATGAATAAATAAAATCTTTAAAAAATAATAATAATAATGAAGTTATAACGATCCTATATAAAAGAATGCATTTTTTCTTAATATTCCAACGTTTCATTCATTTAGCATATGTAGCATATCTGGCTGTATCCTGACAAAGGATAGCCATGACAGTAAGCATAATCATCATAAAATGGGCAATAGATTTCTTAAGTACCCTGACCGCTCCTTGTTGTTGTACACTCTGAATTTCCCTTCAAAAGATCCCCCCACCTTAAACTAGTGACAACTACCTACCATTCCTATTATTTACATCTCGTAGATCAGATAGGGATAAAGTGGTAGGACATGTAGTACTGAAGGAATGACCCAAGAAAGCTCTTAATTTCTCCACAAGAATTTTAAACTCCTATTTTCCACCTCTTGTACTTTTTACACCCAGCCTTTGGGAGATCCTGCCCAAGTCAGTCAGCCTACAGATAGAGAATTGGAAAAAGAGTGTGTACGCCCAAGAGAAAGAATAAGTTGTTTTAATTTCTATTACCATAAGACAGAAATCTAAAGGCACTGAACGTGGAAATACTGCAATACCTAGTAGACAAGTTCCATATCAATATATTTCAAGTACATGGGCAGCCCCGGTGGCTTAGCGGTTTAGCGCCGCCTTCAGCCCAGGGCGTGATCCTGGAGACCCAGGATCGAGTCCCATGTCAGGCTCCCGGCGTGGAGCCTGCTTCTCTCTCTGTCTGCCTCTCTCTCTCTCTCTCTGTCTCTAATAAATAAAAAAAAAAAAATAAAATAAAAAAATCTTTAAAAAAAATATATATATATGTATTTCAAGTACATCAGACATCAGTGTTTAAATAACCTGTTCACTAGTATGAAAATCTAAGAATTGGGACACCTGGGTGGCTTGGCAGTTAAGCACATCTGCCTCCAGCTCAGGGTGTGATCCTGGAGTCCAGGGATCAAGTCCTGCATCAGGCTCCCTGCATGGAGCCTGCTTCTCCCTCTGCCTGTGTCTCTGCCTCTCTCTGTGTGTGTCTCTCATGAATAAATCTTTAAAAAATTTTAAGAATTTATAACATTAAAACCTGAAATACATTTCCATATAGTAATCAGATTTGTATTCATTTAGAATACAATCAATAAGAAGCTGGGAAGCAGATTTACTAAGATATATAAATCTTACTCAAATGTATATATAATACTCAAAAGCATATAATTATAAAAAAAAAAATCACAAGACAACCTTACTAACATCCCACATCTCGAAGTATTTCATAATTCAACTAAAGCATGTTCAGAAAAAAATCAGGTATTTTTTTTTTAAAGACAAACTTGTATATACAAAAATTAGTACCTGATCCATCTGTGCCTGAACCAGATCTAACAGATCCATCTGTGAAGGAAACGGATTCAGAATCAGAGTCGCTAGCTTCACTTCGAGTATCATAATCATTTCCCTCTTCCTTCTGGTCTCTCTCATCCTGTTCATATTCTTCTTCCTCCTCCTCCTCCTCCTCTTCTTCCTCCTCCTCCTCCTCTTCTTCCTCCTCCTCCTCCTCTTCTCCATCTTCATCTACTTCTTCATCTTCCTCTGCATCTTCTTCTACTTCTTCATCTTCCTCCACATCTTCTACCCCTTCCTCTTCATTCTCAGTATTATTGCCTTGTTCATCAGAAGAACCACTGCTGCCAGTCTCATGGTCAGAGCCATATTCTTCAGAGTTTACTTCTTCCTTAGAAGATTGGCTGGATCTGCTTGCACGTCTATCCACTTCAAGCCCAATTCTCTGATGTTTAAAAAAAAAGGGAATCAGCAGTCATATAACAGACAAGGTCAGAGTGAATAAATAGTTCTAAAGCCTCAATAAGAATTGCTTTGTTTTACATCTGCAATAACACTTACTACCTCAGAACCATCTGGTGTAGGGGATTTGGTCCTCCTTTCAGGATCTCTTTTCCGTAGACAAGTTTTTTCAGGTTGACTCTTATAAGGTTCTCTAGAAGCACTGCTAGACAAACGAATCTTCCGATCAGCTTCTAAACGCTTGCTTCTTTCAGATCTTTGATATTCCTCATTTTTATACTCTCCAACTGACTTTCCCTTTGTACTAACTATTCTTTTGTTGTTGCTAACAGATGAGCTCAATGGCTTAGAAATCAACTGTCTTGAATGAACAGAAGGTTTTTGTCGCTTGATGTCAGTAGATTCCATTCGGTCACTTTTTCTTTTTGATCCTTAAAAATACAATTTAAAGAAAGCATATAAAAGTGTTTTAGGCATTCTATTTGCTTCACCAAAGACTGACAGATAATATGTACCAGAGGAAAAAAAAAGGCAAATTTCTTTAAAATGTTTTCTAAAATGTTAATCATTAAAAAAGCTTGCAAATATAAATACTACCCATTTGAAAAACAATAGATCACTTTTATTCATATAGAATTGGGTACCATAGTTTGTTATGATTGTACTTTTGGTGTTAACAGATTCAAGGAATAAGAAAAAAAACAAAGTCACTTTCTTAATAAATTAAATCTCTATTTAAACTTATTTTAACAAAATTTAAAAATATTACATACCCTTCTTCTCGTTTTTATCTTGTTCACTCTCTGGATTATAAAGTTCATCATCCTGTTCTGGTACTTCAGTCAAAATATCATCAAGAACATTAAGTTCTCCATCTGAAAGCAAAAAATTAAAAATAGGGAAAAATCATTACCATGAAGCATTTATATTTTACTACTACTATGTTGGGTCTAAGTAAATATGAAAACATAACCCTCAAAGACCTTTTATTTCAGGACCAAATACAAGACTAATTCTATAAAACCATTCACAGTAAAGAACATGATACAGACCTCCTACGAAGCCAGGAGTAGTAGTATACACCCACCCCATAGAATATGAAAGGATAAACTATGAGAAAAGAAAATGTCAAGAACTTCTATATCTGTATCCCATCATATAATTTCTCATTTTTCTAACTGCTCTAAAACGTACACAAAATATTAGTACAGAAATACATGCAGGTAACATAAACACACACACTTAAATAAGGATGTGTACTCAAGATACTTCTTGATTACCAAGAAAAAATAATTTTAAGTAGAGGAAGATGACAGATTCAAACTTAACCAAGGTGAGTCAAATCAGTATCACAGACCACCTGGCATGATGCACACAACACATCTGTGATATTCCTTTTTTTTTTTTAAAGATTTTATTTATTTATTCATGAGAGACACAGAAAGAGAGAGAAGAGAGAGAGAGGCATAGAGAGAAGCAGGCTCCATGCAGGAAGCCCGATGTGGGACTTGATCCTGGGTCTCCTGGACCAGGCCACAGGCCAAAGGCAGCACTAAACCGCTGAGCCACCCAGGCTGCCCCATCTGTGATATTCCTAAAAAAATGCAAACTCTGAACTTATATGTGACAAAATATCAAATAAACCAAAATGAAAGGTCATGCACTACAAGCAGTAAGAAATTACTCCAGATTAAAGGAGAATAAAAAAGACATAACTGAATAAAAAACATAACTGGGAAGCTAGTGAAATTATAATAAGGTCTGTAGATTATAATAAATATCACTGTTTCCTGATTTTGATAGTACTATCATTAAGTGAATGTCCTAATTCTTAGGAAATACATACTTAGGTATTCAAGAACAAAAAAGTATCATGCCTGCAACTGACATTTGGTTCAGAAAAAGTGTGTCTGCATGTATCCACAGAGAAAATTAGGGGCAAATGACCTCAAGAAAAACAATATGGGAAGTTAACATTTGTGGAGTGGTTGAAAGGTTAAAAAAAAAAAACAAAAACGCACACACACACACAAAGAGTACTTTTGTGCTGCACAATCAAAAACATTTCAGGCTGCTGATATAAACTACGAAACATGTTAACTTGTTTAGACAAGAGAACTATTGACTATAACTGACATACTAATGATCATGAAAACCTGTAACTCAGTATTTGCACTGCATCCTTAATTCCTGCCACATCCAACAGAACAAAATAAATCCTAGAAATACATGCAAATATTTACTACTTTAATTTTTTTTTAATAGGGGTGCCTGGGTAGCTCAGCTGGTTAGGCATCTGCCTTCAGTTCAGGTCCTGGGACTGAGCCTCAGGTCCAACTCCCTCCTGTGGGGGGGGGGGGGAGGTCCTGCTTCTCTCTCTATCTGCCCCTGCTCATGCTCACTCTCAAATACAAAAAAATCTTTTTAAAAATAAAATAAAATTGATTTTTTTTTAATAATACACTAAAGCTAACGGTAAATGCTTTGAACCTAAGCATTCTGGTGCTTATCTTCCCAAATTTAAAGTGTGGTAAAGGGAAATATAAAGTCATGAACACTGATGAGATAGGACAATTACATTTCCAGTCAAAAAGCAAAGCCCATTCAAAATTATAGCAAGGGCTACTAACCTGACTTAAGGTCTATAAACAGGATAAATGAAACTAAAGTATCTCCAAAGGGGGACAGAAATCAGTGACTGAAGAGAACTAAAATATTTAATGTAGGTATATGAAAGAAAACAAGGTTACACAGGGTACAGAAAAAGTAACATCTCAGTATTTGGAGTCAGACACAGTTGCTGTTTAAGAGCACATCTTCCTTAGTATTTTGAGTCAGACACAGTTGCTGCCAAGAACATCAAGGGGGCACCTGGGTGGCTCAGCTGCTGTGCACCCTGTCAAATAAATCTTAAAAAAAAAAAAAAAAAAAGAGTGGACTTTACTATTTTTCTAAAATGAATATACATACTATATGGATTTCCTTACTTTAGCTCTCCAGTCAATAAAAAAGTAAATCCAACAGATCTTCACAAAAATTACATTTCTAAACCAAAAAAAAAAAAAAAAAAAAGCCTATCACAATGAAATAGGCAATTAAGTAAATATAGTGCTACACAAATCTTTCCATGAAATTACTAGCTCTGTATTACAGAATCAACCGGAAAGCCCGAACATTTACATGAAGTTATATACTTTATATATGCTAAATCTAACACAGAATGAAGGAACTGCTCAGGTTAATTTAAATCAATGCAAATTTCAGGCATATTTAAATCATGGGTTCCCTATAAAAAGGTATTGTTTAAAAAAGTCTTAACTGTATTAAGTCAAATGCAGAGACTAGCTGCTGTTTTTAAGCTACAAATTTTTAGGACAACAAATATTAAGCAATACTTACTTTTTTAACATTTGGCACTTTCACACATATCTTATATACATATATGAAACACCTAAAGTATGGTTTTTCATCTATTACTTCACAGATACATAAGTATAGGGTGGCCAAATTCATGTCTAGAGATAGATAGGTACAAGCCTACAGTTCAGGTTTTCTAAATCTAGAGTTAAATTAGATGGGGAGTATTAAAAAAAAAAAAAAACCTTTAAACAAAGTATAACAAAAATGCAAAATATTATTAAAGAGTCATGTTTAGGGGATCCCTGGGTGGCTCAGCGGTTTGGCGCCTGCCTTTGGCCCAGGGCGCGATCCTGGAGTCCCAGGATCAAGTCCCACATAGGGCTCCCGGCATGGAGCCCGCTTCTCCCTCCTCCTGTGTCTCTGCCTCTCTCTCAATCTCTGTGTCCATCATGAATAAATAAATAAATCTTTAAAAAAAAAAAAAAACTAATGTACCACAGAGCTCTGTATAATTGACATTATAGCATTTTGAAATTTACTTTAAGATCAAACACTACATCCTAACTTGATGGTCTACTTATTTTTATCCATTTTATATTTCATGATATCAATAATCGAACTGTGGGGGCAGCCCTGGTGGCGCAGCGGTTTAGCGCTGCCTACAGCCCAGGGTGTAATCCTGGAGACCTGGGATCGAGTCCCACATCGGGCTCCCTGCATGGAGCCTGCTTCTCCCTCTGCCTGTGTCTCTGCCTGTGTGTGTGTGTGTGTCATGAATAAATAAATAAAATCTTAAAGAAAAAAAACATTTAAAAAAAAATAATCGAACTGTGGTATTTAATCCCAATACTGGCAAAAGACCTGCAGAACAAATTCAGCCTATGGTTTATTTATCAGTAATGTTTTTTGCATCCTAAAGAGGTTATGTTTAAGGGGGGGAGGGGGGGCATAGAACATGTGACAAACCCTATGTGGCCCCCAAAGCCTAAAATATTATTTACTATCTGACCCTTTACAAAAAATAGTATGCCAAGCCTTAATATAAATGACATTTTAAATTATTTTCTCCATTACTAAAACCCCTTATATATTCACTTAAATATAATATACAGGAGAAAGATCTGGATCTAGAAGAAAGAAAATCCAGGTTATCATATAAGAGCTAGGTATCTTCAGGAAGGTCCCAGTCTGAGCTCCAGTTTCTTCACTTCTGGTAAGAGGCATTTAGAATAAAAAGACCAGTGTTTGGGGAAAGGAAAAGGAGCACACTTATTTGAATGTGTTTTAACCTATAAGCCATTCCCTATCACTATCAGATTCTAATAAGCCCTGCCTGCCACAAACCTTTGTGCTCATGACTAGGGTACATGATAACACAAAATCTGGTCCAGAACACAAAAATCCTCTTCTTTTTTTAATAAATAAATACATGTTCCGAGTACCTATTGCTGTATAACTACAAATCCCCAAACTTAGTGGCTAAAACAATAAATCATTTGTTATTTATTTCTGCTGATGGTTCTGGGCTCAACTAAGGTCTCTCATGTGGTTGCAGTTCAGAGGGTGGCTAGGGCTAGAATCACCTGAAGCCTTGTTCATTCCGTGTCTGGCTGGCACCTATACTGGGAAGACTCAAAACAGCTAAAGCTTCCAGGGCGTTTCTTTCTGTGGGCACTCTCCACCATGGCAGCTTCAAGGTAGGCAGACTTTTTACATGGTGGTTTAGAACTCTAAAGATGTATATCCCAAAAGAGAAAAGGCCAGGTAGAAGCTCAGGTCAGTATTTTATTCAGAGGTAATTACAAAAGTCAACCCGAGTTTCAAATAGAGGAAAACAGACTCCACCTAACAGATGGTAGAAGTGTCAGATACTTGGTGGGTGTTTTCAACTATCACCAACCATCAACTTAGTTTTGTTTAAACTTAAGGATTTTAATTACAAATGTAAGGTGTGTTTTTAAAAACCGAAATACAGTTTTAAAAGGTTGAGTACTTATAGTACTGAGCTATTACAAAGCTAATTTAAGCTGCTTTCTCTGACCACTTCTTTCATGGCTAGGAAAAGTACACTTTGTACTTATTTCACTTTTTCAACCCAGAATGAAGTAATTATAAAGTAAACATATTTTTTAAGATTTTTTAAAATTTATTTATTCATGAGAGACAGAGACACGAGCAGAGGGAGAGGCAGGATCCACGCAGGGAGCCTGACGTGGGACTCATCCAGTCTCCAGGATCACTGGGCTGAAGGCGGCGCTAAACCGCTGAACCACCCAGGCTGCCCTAAAGTAAATCGTTATTTTAATTTCTCAGAAGCTACTGCTGCTGAAGACCAATCATCACTGGAATATCCTTTTTGGGGAAAAAAATTCTCTTAAGAGACAAAATAACACCCAGTAGTTCTCTAGAGTGATATTTAAAGTACCTTAATAAATTTAATTTTATTTAAAAAAAACTTAATTTTTATTTTATTTTTAAAACAAATGTTTAATAATTTTGAATCACTGTCTTAAAA